GGAATTAGTGTGTGTAGGTGGTTCATAAATGGGGAGGGAACAACTGGGCATCAGTTGTCAAATTTAATCTTAACATTATGTCTTGCAAACCACCTAGCCTTCATGTCCCCTGTCTGCCACTTCTTACCCTCTGGTTAAGGGCATCTTTAAACAACAACCCTTACACATGGAAGGTAAGGTCTACATTGGATAGAGTTTCTCAATGCACAGCTTGCAGTAACTAAAACTAATTGTCAGGGTTGTAAAATCTTGGGTAAGACCAACAGTCTAGAAGGAAAGAATGAAAAAGCATGGGAACGTGAAAGGCCGCTTGCCTTAAAATTCCACTAAATCCAGATCCGTAAGTAGAATGGCTGTAATTTTCTCTCTGTCAATACCATACAGTTTCTCCCTTTTCCTTAACTGCAGTATGCGTTCTAGTGGTCAGGGTGTGGGGTGTGTTTTTTTTTTTTTTTTTTGTTTTGTTTTTTTTTTTTTTCCCCCCCCAGAAAAGAAGAAACACCTTCAATACATTTTTTTTTTCCCCTTACTCAGAGTGTAATGCTAGTTCTTCACATCTGACAGCCCAGATATTTTGGCTTGGGTTTGTTTGGTTTTTTTCTCAGTAATGGGATTTTTTTTCTCTCTATATGTAATGGTGCCATCTATACAGACTTCTACTGCATACTCAGTTGAAAAAGTCATTTTGCTAACCCAACCACATTGATTGCAAAATTTACAGAACCAAGTTAATATAGTCTTGTCAGTAAACTAAAATCATATTCTATCTCCTAACTTTCATGGTTGTCCAGCAAGAAATCTGGTAAGCATGCTACCGACCTTAAAACAATGTTAGTTAAGGGCATGAAAGTAAAAGGGGACATTAGTGTCTTCAAAACGACTAGCTAGTTTTCTGGTAAGCAGAAAATTTTACCCTTAACATCCGAGACATGGAAGCTGACAACTGACTACCTTCACACAAAATCCATGTTGCACTGTTACCAGTCATCTTATCAATGCTGAAGATGATGCATGTAGCTAAATAAATGTCTTTATTTTGGCCTCCTTGGAGTCAGAGTTTTAGACCTGTTATTTGTCTAGACCCTTCAACATTTTATGGTGCATGTCAGTCTCCATGGGTTTTAACCTAATCATTTAGATGTTATCAGGCTGCACAATAGCCATTTTAAGTAATTAGTTACCAGCATTCATCCCCATAATAAACTACAGAAACAAGCACGAAGTTGATTAATTACATATTTCAAAAACTGTGTCTGAACAGCTACAAACCATCACATGGGACCAGAGGATGGCCCAGATCAGAGAGCCTTATTCCAAAAGGCCACTTGAGCCCAAAAAAAATCTAGTCTTTTCTGGCAGAGGCAGACCACCTGCATGAAAAACAAACTTTAACAAGGATAATCTAATGTGAAAATTAGGATCTACCTCGTCCCTGCCTCTTTCATGGCCAAAATGGATCTGTTCCAGTATAACCAGTGTCCTTACATGCTCCGATGCTTCTACCAAGTAATCTTCAGATGTGTAGCAGCTTTGACTTTCAATCTAACCTCTACTAGATAAAAAGTTATTATGCTTTATACCTTATGCTCCTTGTAAGTCTGTATGTTCATTATGTAGGTCCATTTTCTTTTTTTTTTTTTCTTCTTCATAGGTTCTTTTTACCCTTAAAAGGAGCTGACAGTTTTCTGTGTGGTCAGACAGCTAAAAGCAGCCAGTTTCAACACCAAGTCTTAGCAAACATTCAAGGAATGTATTGAAGAAAAAACAGCAGAGAACTCAACTCTTGCATTTAAATACTGAAATATGACTTATCACTATTTTTGAAAGCAAGTACTTTTTTACACTATTATGGTTATTTTCTCATTCATGCCTTATTATTGGGTTTTTATTAATGACAGCACTTCTGAGCTCATTTGCAGGAGAATGGCAGAAGATTGAGCTCCTTTAATGTCACCTGCCTTCAGGTGAAGGATTACTTCATTTACATTGTTATTCAAGGCAGACTTGAAAATTAGCCAGAGTGTAACTTATTCAAAGTGACAGAGCCCAATAAACTCTGTACAGAATCAAATTCAAAATAGAGAAGTATTTCCTAGATGAGTTTCTATGAAAAATTATTATTCTGGGAACTCTATTATTATTTGCTAACCATTTCATTAAACCAGCTGAAAAAGTCTACAGTATGACTGCGTTTCTGCACTGAAAATTTGTGTGATATATTAGAGATTGCACTGCTAAAAGTCAGGGAGGGATAAAGTTCCATGAAACATTTTCAATAGCAGCCATCATCAGTATTTCTCTTCTGAACAGAAGCTGAAGAACATGTGGAAACTGGACAAACACTAAAATGTAGTCAGTGCAGAGCTGCACTATTGCACAGGATCTCCGTAAGCTGACCTACTGGTGTTCACTCCACTGTACAGAGAGGGGGCTCCTTTGTAGCAGAAATGGGATAAATCAGTAACTTTTATTTCAGGCTAGAGTATTTGCATGAAGATTAACTATAACAAGAATATCTTGCCCACCACACTCCACAAAATAATTGTGGCATAGACAGACATTTCTTTCTCCAATACACAGCAACCAGTAAGCCTTTGAAAATTATCCTTTCAAACAGCACATATCATTTCCTTTCTCTTTCCCATTCCTTTCTAGATGGAAACAAATTCAGAGCTTGGGAAATTGACCAACAAATTCAAAACCATGAAATGCTGATGTTTTACATCGCAACTCAAACCACAGAAGATAGAACAGGTGATAAATTCTTGTTTCTGTGACCTGACATTCAGGACAAGAAACATGTAATACTGAAGAGTAGCAACCTGCTCCCCATAATAAACTCAAAACTAGCAATTACCAAACAAAATTACAAATATTTGGCTTTTCTGCTGCATTTTGCATCCCAGTCTTCTTTACCTTAGCTGTCACCCAGGCACAGAGCTAAGCTGATATATGCTTTCCCCAGATGTCCTGGAGCAGCTATGATGACAAATAAAAGTTAATCACACTGAAGAGAAGCACCCAAGGAAATATTTAGAATAAGCTGCGGTAATTAAGTCCAGGAAGCCTTTCCCTTAGCTGCAGGGTACACCATATTTTTTTCTTTTTGAATTATTACAGCATAAAAAAATAGTTCCACCATTATTCTGACATCAGACTCTTAAATATCTCTGGAAAGATAGCATCTTGGGGCAGATTTCTACACCTGCCAGTTGTGACCTTGGATTGTTCAAGATGTGAGTGAAATAAATGTTGAACAATTCGGTAGAGAAAGTTAGTCTCCAGTTCTTTTCTGAGATATGCCAACAAGAAATGCATAAATTAATTCCTCCTTTAATTAACTACAATTAATAAATTAATTCTGTCCTGTAAGATAACTTACAGGAACCTTTGCAATCTCTTACTCCTGAGGAAGCAGCAGCATGGTGTTTACCATTGCATTTTTGGTTGCACCATGCATTGGTCAATTGTTCAGTTAAGCAGTTATTACACTGGGCTACGATGTTTATGTTTAGCCTGAAAGGTGGTTACTCCAAACTTAGTGTTAAGAGAGGTATTTCTCAGCAACATTTTGAGTATAAATACAATTCTGGAAAGGACTTTTCCTTTTGAAAGAATCGCTTTTTTTGCAATTATTACCTAAAGAGACACCACATATTTGTCCAATCTGCAACTTCCTGTTCAAAAATCATGCAATTTTCTCCGTTAAATTAGGTAATTATGTAAAAACAATCGATTTGCTGTCACTGATATACCCAGTAGTGAGCAGACATTTACTGAGAAGCCATATTGGTATAACACTGAATAAGAACTCAAAATCTCAAGAGTCTTCTGCCTTTTTTAAAGCTTAAACACTTTGGAGACAACCACCTTTCTGAGAAAAGGTCAGTGTTGCACTCTTCCAGTATTAAAACGCTGGGTTTCTTTAACTATGTACTGTGAGCTAGTCAGACCAAAATATATCATTTATACCTCCCCAATTTTTGCTGGGGAAGCTACCCAAAGGGGAGCTGGTAAGCAAAATTCTAACTCCAGGCACTTCTCTTTACGAAAAGGTGAACTGTCATCCTGGTGCCAATTATCACCTATGAAGCTTTTGGTCTCAGAGGATCCAAAGTGCTTGGTATTGTTTCTAGTTTCCTACAAATGGGACCTGTCTTGAAGGTGTGATTTGGGTGATTTGTCAAACTGGCCATTTGATGAGACAAAGAACTTTGGCTTCAAAAAGCACATTTTGATTGAGCAGCACAAGCGTCATCCCTAGATAAGAGGCAGATGAACCTCACTTAGACAAATGGAGCAGCTGAGGTTGACTCTAGCAAACAGATGGTGCATCCTTATCTTTCTCCTTTTTTTACTACTGAATGTGATAAAGGAGAAAGTTATAAAAATGATAAAATCCAAGAAAATCACCCTATGATTTCACAAAAATCGCTCAAGTAAAGTGACAAAGTAGAGATAAGAACATGAAAAGATGTTCAGAAGACCTCAGGAAATGGGACACTCCAAACTCCTCTTGGTTGCCAACTATCTGACTTGTATCGGAGAAAGAAATGCCAGCTTGTTTGTACTGGCAGCTATAACACCATATAAAACAACGTATTGTTGTACATTATTACAGTAATGTAACGTTACACAGCTTGAAGGAGATTCTTATGGGAACTGAACTTTCTAATCAAAGACAGTAAGTCCTTGTTTGATTATAAACTCTCTTCTGTTTCAAACTGCATATTTGAAATATGCCAAAGGGTGTTATAGCTGATGAACGCAACAATTTTCAACATATAAAGTACTATGTTGTAGACTGAAAGAGCAGAGATCAAAAGTGTAAAGACTATGATGTACTTCTGTAATCTCTCTGGAGCACAGCACGCTGAGGAGCGCAGAGAATTGACAGACACTGACTGCCATGTCTCTGAACTACATCATCTTGATTTAATGCAAATGAATGAAGTGCAGAAGAAACAACTATTTTAAACAGTACACATCACTGAATAAGCAACTTATTTATAGTATTTTCTCTATTACAAAACCCATTGATTAAACAATTACAAAACCCACATAGCTGGAACTCTCAAGATCACTCAGCATTGAGTGCCAAGTCCCACAACACTTCTAGCCACAATTTCAATGGAACTGAGATAGTAGGACAATTGTCCTATAATTAAATTCAAGTTATTATTTTTGAAGCTGGATATGCACATTGAGATCGATTTTATGGCATTGTCTGTAGTTTCAGAGGAACAAATTTGAACATACAAAAGGAGTTCTTGGAGGGTGTGTCTTTGAATTACTCTTTTGTTGTTTACAAAGCCATAAGAATTCTCTTAATGGAACAGTCCTACTCTAAGATTCTATTAGAACATTCTAATATTCTTTTAACTTATTTAAGAATAGTCAGTATTAACTATTCTTAATAGAATAGTTTTAAATTCTGTTAATATACCCCTTGAGAAACCCATAAAAATTAATCTAAATTAATTTGAAACTTATCTTAAAAAAGAGCAGATTTTTTCTCATCTGCCTCACAATCTACTTTCTTTTTAGAGGGTGACAGTCATTCTGAGCAATGGCAAAGAAAGGTGCGCAGGATACAGCACTGGGAAGACACTCACTGACTTAGGTTTTACAATGCATTTTGATAATTGTGCACAGCTCTCATTCACACCTGAAAATTCTCATATTAGCAGCATTCCCAAAACAGGCAGAAACTCTTCAAATGTGGTTTCACATGGTGGCAGGCAGTAACATTAACGTTCCTTATCCATACTAAAACAGGCATCAGAAACAGAAGATACTACGCACAGACTGGTAATTCTACAACCTCTAACGTTGCTTGTGTATGCTCTGCTCTCTTCTTCAAATAATTTCCAAAGCTTTCAAAAAAACTTTGTGGACTCCTAAAAGATTTCCAGTGAAGCTGAGAACCTTGCCCTAGCCTTTAGAAGATAAAATTGCTATTATTAATCATCTTTTGAAGATCTTTTATGAGTTGTCCACAGAGGTTCATCAACTATAACTGAAAAACAAAGCTGTAGATGATACGAAAAGTAGTAGTAAAAGCAGTACTCCAAGACAGTCTACATCTTGAGGGATTTCTTCAGCTCTCCCTTCTGCATTATCATCACCATACTTACTCCACCTGCTGTCTTCCCCAGAAATGTAGACTTTAGATGCTATAACTGTGGCTTGACAAGGAAAGAACTAACAGGAAGTAAAAATATTTCTTGAAGTAAATACAAAAGAAATACTGTTGAAAAAAAAGCCAGATTAAATCCCCAACCAAACTCCTTCAAACTGTTTATATTAATAGCTTAGCAAGTAAACATGTTTGTTTATAATGAAACTTGGCAGCAACATCAACGACTTTGGGAAGATGGTATAAAAACGAAATGGCATTATCGAATGTGATTTACAAAAACTGTATTTGGCTTTTCATGCAAAATGTAAATAAATCCTTAAAGATGCTTTATTAAAAAAAATATAATGCAAGGAAAAATTAGGTCAGTTGTTACAGAACTTACTGATCTCTGTAGATCTACTGGGTACTGGAGGAGGCTGTGTACCATTGCGAGTAGGTGTTGATGACTGAGGGGATATGGGAGAAAAGGGAACCATATCAAAGATGTCAGTGGAGGGTGATTTAGGTGTCACACTGCCTGCCTACAATAAGGACAATAAATATTAGGGCAATATTTCACATGAAAAAGATCACAGTACTGAATTCTTCAGCATGCAGATAAGAGCCACATTTTCAAAAAAGTTAAAAATAACCATCAGCATGCAAAAACCAGAAAAAACAGCTCCTGACACCAAGCAAATGGCATTTGCAGTTCAGAGTCTGAGACATGCTAAAACTCTCCAATATATAAGCAGCATGGTAATTTTGCAATTTTCAGTCCACCTGGTAGAGCCAGAAATGTATCACAGTTAAAACTGAGAAAGCTGGTGACAAGCAGTTCTCTACTGCAGATGGATGAATACAGATGTGTTCACAAAACACACTTAAAGTAATACTGCAACAATAATATGCTATGCTCTGGAGTGCACACAACAAGTAGCTAAAATTAGATAAAAGTAGATAAGTAGACAAGTAGATAATTTCTTGTTTACTAATTCTTCCTCACACAGTCACTTATTTGACAACCTAAAAAACCTGATGTGATCAAAGCTTCAAATGTATTTTTTGGTGTAACAACCTAGACACACAATACTCTGAATATTAATATTCAAAATAGAACTCTTATCCTTGAACATGGAACAGAAGAGATTTCATTAGTAAGATCCAGGAATTTGGAAAAGTTCACAAAAATACTGGATAAGCAAAGTAATGCCAAACCTGACTATTACTGTCGTTCTATAGCCATATTTTAGTTATTAATTCTTCCTGCCATCAGTCCATTACTTCAGGACACAAATGAGGCATAGTCAGATCAGAATGAACTGAACACTAAAGACAGATGATTAAATAGATTAAAACTGAGACTGACAAGCCGAAGGCAAAATATATTTGGAAAACCAGTTTGCACGTTCATGTTATTACTTAGACAATACCAAACCCCCATGTTCTGTGTATTAGAAAGACTATACAGCCAGGGACAGGGAAAGCCTGCTAGTTTTAAATAAGACTCAATTTGATCAAAACAGTCACACAGAAATTTTTAAGCACAAATTAAATTAGTCACACAGATCCTTTTATTTAGAATACACGAATACGACAACCTGGCAAGCAGGCAGTCTTTAGCACTGGTGCTCCACGAGAGTTTCATGGACCTAAACCTTATTTTGGAATGCTTCTTTCTTTAGTGCCTCTGCTACAGCAGCTGAAGGTGCCCTCTGACAGCACATGCCACAGATTTCTAAGCCAAGTCTACAGGTAGCCCTGAGCTACCTCTGTTTCTCTCTGGAGGCTGCAGTGGCTGCAGAGAAGGAAAGAACATTGATCCACAGTCTTCCACTGAACGCACTGCTTAAAGGGAGAACTAGATGCCGAAGTCCTACATTTCCTATTTCCTAGGAGTTTTGAATTCATATTTTATGAATATATATATTCCATATTGAATGAAAAAAACCAAACCCAAAACACCAAAACTACAACAATCCAAGCCATACTTGACACAACAGCTTTTGTTTTTGTTCTATTAAAAAATCTCTCAGTCATGTTTTTTCTTGGCAAGACCACAGCTGAATTAAACTTCATAAAATAATTAATTTTTTAGATTTTTACACATACAGAACTCTTACTGACCTCAACATGAGTTAGCATTGCAATTTCAAAGATCATTTGTTGTGAAAAGATTTCAGTGCGCAGTGTTTATTTAATCACAATAGGCGCTTATTACCATGTTCATGGATCTTGCATTAACCTCCTGGCACCTCTGTGCACAGGCAGGGAACCTGGATAATTCAAGTCAGAGAGATTGCTGGATGGCATCTGCTCCCACTCAAAGCAGGGCAACAGATGCGTTTGACCCAAAGCAAACTAATAATGATTCTCCTATTCCACTCTTCATACAAATGGAACTCTCTTGTAGATAGGTTTCGTCTGCATCAGGAAGGTGAGATCACGTTTAATGCATAGGTACATGCCATATACTAACCTACATTTCCCCTCAACACTGATGGGCAATCCTAGAACGTCCTGGAGATAGGAAATGCTAATGTTGATTCTCCTTATTTGCTAAGTGTTTATGGCTACCTAGAAGCTAGATAAATAAACTTTAAACAGCATTTAGGTTTCGTCTTAAATGAATCTTTTAGGCAAAAAAGCAAACCCAAACTTTACACTACCATTTCCTGTCTCTATGCCATTTTGTTGAAGTTGCTGGACATTTTGGCACTACTAACACAGCTAGTTTAAGTAAAACTATACTATAGTTATTTTAAGAAATGTATATTTTGAATACATATGAGCACAAGAAGCATTATTTAGTGAACACATGCAGAAAGCCATGATGTTTGCCCAATACAGCCAAATGTTACTTGCAAATGGAAGAAAAGTTGAGAGTATAAGCATATTGCTATGAAAAAGCAGGCAATATGCCCATTTCATATTTAAGAACAATTTTCAACCTTCATTTTGCACAGAGTTTTTATAAAGTGTGCTAAAAAGTATTTAACGGCTGATTGCTTTTTCTATTAATTCATGGGAGGGGAAAGCCCTTGAAGTTGGACCTTTAGAATTGTTTGTTTTGAATAACTATTGTTAGTATAAAGAATTTTAACAAAAGATTTACAGGTAATACAGAGGTAATTTAATTAGTGGACTAACTTAAAGATGTTGGGAAAATAAGAATTTTTGTTTTGGGGCTGGGAGAGAAAAAACTATTTAGAAATAAGAGTAAATCTTCGCAAATTCTGTATTTTAAGAGTACCCCCAGAGAATCTAAGATACACCTGCTCTGTCCTTTAACCACTGTACAAAATGCACATTTTTAATACAAGTTAATTCACAACAGAGAACAAAGGAAAGACAAAAAAAAAAAAACTGAAAAAGCTTTTGCACAGCACGATTACACGAGGTCTTGGGCAGCTGTATTCACTGGCTGGCTTTGGAAGACCACTTTTGGAAGGTGGTGGTATTAACAATCCAGATGGTAGTCTAGAGTCAGGAGAACTCCTAGGAGTAAGCGTAATGGAAGAGATATCTAAACAAGGAGGTGAATCCTCATTGTTACACCAGAAAAAAGTAGAGGGTCTTTGAAAGATATGTTCATCATTATCACACTTTATGTGCAGCAGCTGAAAAGGAATCACAGAAAGAGAAAACATCCTGAGGAACAGAACATGGTAACATCAGGGAAAGACAAAATAAAAAAGCACATTTCATACGTCAAAACAGTTTGTCACCAACTTGCTGTTCAAAGCTATAGTTACAAGATACAGAACTTGAAAATATTTTAAAACTAAATTTAAAATATATTACTGAAAGAGGTAGCCCAGTATTAACTGCAATGAAAACGACTTGCTACTTGATAATTACACCAAACAAAATGAAGACAGGCATCTTTCCGCAAATGGGTGTGTCAGATGCACTGACAAATGTCTAAATACACCAACATATCAGCAACACCTCATCTCTGCACATTTAAATTAGCAGGTAAGCACAGATCTGGGGAGCAGAGTAACTCTGGTGGTGAAGGCACAGGTTAGAATCTTCTTTCTCCGAACCAGGAAACACCTACCATTTACATCTCACCAATATTTAAAGAAAATATTTAATTATTTAACTAACATCTTACAGTAGAAGCTCACAGGGCACAAATTTTAATGTTTACATTAATACTAGACTTTGTTTCATTTCCTCGTCTACAGAATTTGAGATCCCAAACATTTATGGACAATAATACCCTTCTCCCATCTCTTCTGTGTGGGTGAATAACCAACTGAACTTGGTATTTTCAGTGGGTATCTCAAAAGCTGAGACTTGTTGCAAAGCAAAGGAATCCTCATGTCCGTTCAACAGCAGCATAGGATGCAGGACGGAATAAAATTGCTGCTGGGGAAATAAAAATATTGAGGATTGTAAGATTCTCTGGATCTTTTAACAAATCCACAGAACAGCTTCGAACAGAGGCCAATGGGTAATATCCACGCCAGAATACAGATGGTAAGAGCGTTCACCTGCGACGACAAATTGGTAGTGGCAAGGTTCTGGTATGAGTTAGTCAAGCAAGAACCTGAAGCTAGCTGCCTAGTATGACTGGGGAGTATTTAACGGTATATTCCAGCAAGAATCACTGTGTATCAAGAGTGAAACCGAGGGCTTTGACCACTTTAATAAAAACTAAGACCCTTAATTTTTTGCCCAGGTGGGAAATATCTGCAATCCTGAAAGGTTTCAAAAGAAATGGATCTTGTCTAGGTGAAATTAGAAGCAAAGAGCCTTTAGGACTGATCCTGGAAAGAAAAACAAAAAGGAAATGTCCTTAAATATTTGATTTAAGAAACATTCCCAAGCAATACTTCTGTTGGGACCAAGTTGTAACTCCTACCTCAAAATCTGAGGAAAACAGCTTTGACAGTTAAAATAAAGCTTTAGAGGACAGATTCAGCTTTAAGTCTTAACAGAAGGGATTGACCACTTGTGCAGACATTTCTTCTTGGCTAGACACAAGAATTTATACAGTGAGGAGGCAGGACTTGGATCAGTGCTGTAGGTATCCTGCCTAAAAATCCTCTAACTCTCCCAGGCTGAAGTAGTGGTAGATACGTGCAGCAGAAATTTTGAAGTCTGCTTTTACTCTCTCCGTACAGTGTTACACAATCAATATGACATGATTATTTCACTAGAAGTTTACTATAGTGTCAGTAGAGTAGGATTTAATCAATGATTTGAAACCAGTTTTTCAGAGCTATGTAGAAAATAAAGCATTTCAAATCCTTTTAAACAGAGCCTGAGTTCCTTTCTTCACTTTCTTTACAGATAAGCCAAGTTAAGGGTACAAGTATCCAAATTTAGTAATAATGCCATTATGAGAACAGGAAACACCACAAAACACACTATTCAAAATTTGCAATACCTAAGGAAAAAAAAAGTTTTTATCACAATTGCAAAGAATTAATCTGTTGCCAAGTTGGAACTGTGAAACTGAGGGTTTGGAATAGTAATCAACAAAAATGAAAGCAAAAAACTACAAGACAGAATTTTGATTATTATTTCAAAAGTATCACTAGACTACAGGTAGGAGACTTGCAATGCTACTGTGTAATTACTACCATGCAATACTTGCTGCTGTACATATACATGGAAAAAACAGATCTCATAACAGTGAACACTGGAAGATACTAAACACAAACAGTCAATTAAAGAAGCAAAATATTTCCCTGAAATGCAAAACAGCAGAGGATGAGAGTAGTTTCCACAAGAAAGCACATATATAACATGAAAAATCATACAGAAACCACCAAAATGCATATCAGATGCAAAGCAGCAAAACTGAAGGGCTGATGAACATGCATCAATCCCAGGCAATGAAAGGTTTCAGCATAGGAACAGAACACACACTGTTTGTATCATTCGAGCCCTGAACATTAAGCAGTCCCACTTCCTCCTATTTATCTGGCAAGTTATAACGTTAGGGCATTTCACACCATACAGGGTGTCGAGGTTCATAAGAGCATGTAGTATTGGTCAGGCTGGTATTACTTTCCAATTTGGGCCCCATTTCATCAACACAAGAAAACAACATGAAATCATTCTTAACAAAATTAACATACCAGTTCAGTGGACTTGGTCTCTATTATGCTCAGACATTATTACGTGCCTGTCAAAGGATTTATTTTTGACTCATTCTATTTAGCACGGTGCTGAAGACACACTGTTTGGCTGCATCACACTAGAAAAGGTGGCATGATTGAGCTTTGGTTAATCAAGGAATCATTTCACAAGTGTTTGTTTATACAAGACATCTCAAGACATTGATTGCAACCTCTGTGCCATACCCCCAGAGGAATCACGTAACTGTATTAATGAATTGGAAAAATGTTTTTCTTCCTTAGAAAATTCAAGTTGGTAACATTCAGAACAGCCATAGTGGATAACTGCAGTGGATGTTACAGGGAACTGTGAGTGACCTCGAATTGGAAATGATGCAGTTAGTTACAAAACCACTGATTACAAGCTACCTGAGATTTGGGACTACTAAGGATACATTAATTTACCAAGTCATAAAATGCTGTATAAGCATTAGCACTTTCGTTAACTAACTGCTACATCTTTGGTTCTTTTAGTACTTTTTCAGTAACGTGAAATCTGACATAGGGAATTTTAATTTTTTTTTAACACCACAAACATATCAGAATTTTAAAACCTCATGAAGTAGTGCTCACTGAACTGAAGACAGAATATTATAAAATTGAAAGAGCAGAAGACAGGTGAAGAAAAAAAAAATGTATTTTCCCACTTGGCAGTCTTAATGGAAACATGAATCAAGCGATATGCCTAAACACATTCCAGAACTGTTTTCTGAAATATGCATACAGTTCAATGTCTATCTTGGGATTTTCTCATGAGCTTTTTAATGAGCGTAATAGGTGCAGGTGGCCTATGCTTCTAAATCACAATTAAAGAACTTTAAAAAAAGGTCTAATAAATCAGTATCTTTAATGCTCCACTTAAAAATGGAGGGTTTTTGCCATACTAGGAATATGTCCTACATACCGCTACTTCAAAAATACATAGGGTGAATGGAAGAACACCGTTCCTTTTGAGGCTGTTTCTCCCAATACCTTTTACTGCTGCCTTTCAATTCTGCTTCTCTCATACTTCATCGTTCTCTCTTTTAAGTTATTTTCCTGAATATTCCTGCCCTAGATATTCTAACTTTGGAGTCATGCACTTGTCACAAGTTACTTCTCTGCATTAAACATGTTGCTCAAAGAGAAACAATAATAAATAATAAAATTCAGACAAGCCCAAAACAGATTAAAAATCTACCTTATCTCATCAGAGGTCTACAATGGTTTACTGTTCAGTTGACTATAAAATTGGAGGGTGCTCACTGTATCTAACTGCTAACCCACACAAAGGCTGTGTGTACAGCTAACCCAGGCTGCTTCAGGCAACACTACCAATATAAATAGCAAAAAAAAAAAAAAACCATGTCATGTGAAACAGCACTCCCAGGGATGCGCTGCTCTTTGGAGGCTGGATTTATACATGGCAGCAGCATCTGAAGTCTTACTGTGATACAAACTTGAGCAGTGTCATCATAAGCAAACAAAATGAAAATCAGATTCTCTTCATATAATCAAGACCAAATGTAAAAGAAGACCGGTGACTAAAGTATTGCCAAGCCACTAAAACAGATGAAAAGTAAACAGCACAGATATAAAAGTAATGGAAACTTCAGCTGTACATGCAAGGGAGGGAGAGACAAAAGAAATATCCCGTGCCAACATTTGGCATGGCACATGTAAGCGCAGCTATAAAGGCAGATTACTCCAAGGAAACTCCTAGTTTTATATAGCTGTCCTTGACAGATCCATTCAGGAAATAAAAAAAGTGACAGTTTCTATCGTGTAACACTTCTGCACTGGCAAATATAGACATTGTAGGGACAAACCTTTTAAAGTTTTATCAAGACTACCATACTTAAAACATCAACCCAAATGTAAAAAAATGATCACTAAGCAGTTTATTATTTACTGAATGTGCTGAACAAACTTAAATCTAAATAGTTACAATACCCCAAGAGAAAAAGTGTGCAGAAGATTGACAATTTCATGTTCAACTTTCACAAAAAGTATATGATTATACAGCTTAGTTTTCTTTTTTCATTTCCAACTATGATCTCATTGCTTTTAATGGGTTCTTTCATAGGTTCAGAAAGAAATTTTATGTTTCCCATACAGTTTATGAACTGATAGAAGAAGCACCTAAATGAGGTTGATGTTGATTTGGCCATATGCCTAGATTTAGAACAGCCACACAAATATTTTTCTGGTGACACTAATAATCAAGCAACAAGATTATTTTGAAGGCAAATGTATCCCTCAAAAGCAGAAGCACTGCTGTCAATGCTTCGCACCTGCTTACACATCACAAAAATGTAAAAGGTATGGAATTGCATTACTCATGCATATAGTTTGCACCCATTTCACTCTCCTAGTATTTTGAAATAAGTCCTCAAATAAACCCACACATGACCTGCAAAAAATCTGCAGTACAAGCAAGAAGAACCAGGGAAGCTGTTCTAGATTAGATCTCCCTTTGTATTTCCGAAACAAGCCTACAACTT